TTCTTTATTATCTTAATAAACAAGATAGTTGTCGTTATAGTATACTATTTAAAAAGATTATTTATAAGAGACTTCCTTAGTAGCGATCCTGATCTGCTTCTCGGGGACAGGTCGCTACTAAATCCTCTTAGGTAGGTAATAATTTCGGGATATATATCCTGGCTTATTATAATTAAAATATTTAAAAACTTCTTTCTAGTATGGTTATTCTCGTTTAGCTATATTAAGGTCTATTAGTCTATTATATTATCTATAGGACGTGGTTTATTGGTTCTACTATTGGTTATTTTTAGGACGGTTTTATCTTTAAAAGTATAGCTAATAACGTGGTTGATAAGCGAGTGGATCAGACAAGCGAGTGGATCAGCCGACCGCGACCAACATATCTTCCACCCTTCATAGGCGTTACGCCACAACCAAGCATGTCATCACAAAGTAATGAAGGCCAGCTAACCTTAGCGGTTCAGGCTATCAAAACGACACCAAATCTTAGTATCCGAGCGGCATCCCGGATCTACTCAGTACCCTTCTCAACCTTACGCCATCGTCTAAGGGGAAAGTTATCACGACGCGACACTATGCCTAGATCGCGGAATTTGACTACGCTTGAAGAAGAGAAGCTAGTTGAGTATATTCTCGACCTAGATTCCCGATCATTCCCTCCCCGCATTAGAGGTGTGGAAGAAATGGCTAATCGACTGCTCGCCGACCGCAACGCGCCCCCAGTTGGGAAGCGCTGGGCTTCGAACTTCGTCAAGCGACAACCACAGCTCCAGACGCGCTTTTTTCGCAAGTACGACTACAAGAGGGCCCAATGCGAAGATCCAAACGCCATAAACGCGTGGTTTCGCCTTGTGGCGAACGCAATCGCGAAATATGGTATTGTGGACTCTGATATCTATAACTTTGATGAGACTGGGTTTATGATGGGCCAGATTGCATCTGGGATGGTCGTCACGAGCGCCGAAAGGCGTTCAAACACGAAAATGATGCAGCCTGGTGACCGTGAATGGGTTACAGTCATTCAGGCCATTAGTTCGTCGGGCTACAGCGTCCCGCCGTATATCATCGTTGCAGGCCAATATCACCTCTCCACCTGGTACACGGAAACCAATCTCCCACGCGACTGGGTCATTGCAACGTCTGACAACGGATGGACAACAAACGAAAGAGGCCTAGATTGGCTCCAGCACTTTGATCGGCATACAAAACTGCGTGCAACTGGCAGTTATCGCCTCCTCGTCGTCGATGGGCATGAAAGTCACCACGCTGCCGACTTCGAGATATATTGCAAGGAAAACAATATCGTCACACTCTGTATGCCGGCCCATTCGTCTCATCTGCTTCAGCCCTTAGACGTTGGGTGCTTTGGGCCACTAAAGACGGCTTATGGTCGACAAATTGAGGATAAGATGCGCCGGGGTAATACGCATATTACAAAGGAAGACTTCTTCCCTGCGTTTCGCGAGGCTTTTGCCCAAGCTATTACGGAAAAGAACATTCAGGGAGGTTTCAGAGGGGCTGGGCTTGTCCCTTTGAGTGCCGAAAGTGTGCTTTCAAAGCTTGATATCAGGTTACACACTCCAACACCTCCAGGATCCCTCCCAACAACACCCCCTGCGTGGACTTCTCAGACGCCAAACAACCCAACAGAAGCATCTTCTCAGTCTGAACTCATCAAAAGGAGGATCTCCCGCCATCAGAATAGCTCACCAACTTCAATTATTGAAGCTGTTGAGCATCTATCAAAGGGGGCGCGTGGATTTATGCACCAGATTGCGTTATTAAGGTCTGAGAACAAAATCCTTCGTGAGGAAAACAACCTACTAAGCCGGCGCCGGAGGGCTAAGAAAACACGTCTCAGACAAGGAGGAAGTCTTACTATAGCTGAGGCTGAGGACCTTCAGTCGCAGAGAGAAGCAACAGCTCAGATCGAGGAGGAAACACGCCGGAGTAGTGGTCGCCGACCGAGGACCGAGACGGGCCAACGGCGATGTGGCGTCTGTGGGAACACTGGTCATAATGCACGAACATGTCAATTTGCTGAAGAAATGTCTGAAGAAGAGGATCTTAAATAGTTTCAATTGAATTACTTTTCTTAGTGCTGCGTATCGGTCGCAAATGTGCTGTGGTCGCGGTCGGCTGATCCACTCGCTTGTCTGATCCACTCGCTTGTCTGATCCACTCGCTTATCAACCACATTAGCGATATTAGAGTTATTCTTTTTAATCTTATTTTATAGGCCTTTATAGACCTTACGGGTAAAGTCAAGTTCTTCTTTCGAGTCTTTGGCGTCCTTTATTTCTTTGTCTAGGGTCTTAGTAGGTATAAGGGCCTTACTTTTAAAATTATTAGAGGAGGTGGATAGGGTAGGTTTAAAAGATATCGTTATTCTTATTATTAGTAGTTTTGTAGGGTTAACTTACTAAACAGAAGTAATTGAAATATTACGGCCAGCTAGTTATAGTAAGGTATATTTGTAGAAGTTAAGGCTATGGAACTAATAATAGTATTTATAGTCAGGGAATAGCTTTAGGGAAGCTATATTTATAAGTCACAAGGTAGGAAAGGCTTCGGTGATCAATCATAGTCTTGTCAAAGAGGTTCTTAGGTGTAAGGGGCTGGCCCCTAGGCTTGTTCAACGTAGAGGTGCCGTCGATTAACTATTCTAAGCTGAGGAGGAAAAGGAGGAATTACAAGGGTTCGCGTACAGCTACGGCATGATATGCCCGGACTCGGCGGTGTACTGCGGCAGAATGGTGGCTCCGGCAAAGCCGGACATCTCGACCGGCTCCGGCCTGTAGCATAACCGAATGTAATAATCCAATATAATAATCGGTTATTACAGGTCGCGGTCGGACAGCTTCCCAGCAGAGGGGTATACGTGCGGCTCCGGCAAGGCCGGAGATCTCAACCGGGCTCCAGCCCGTGACATATGTGTAACGGTGTGGGCCCCACAAGGGCAAATGTGGCAGGAGACACAACAAACCATTGCGCTAAATGCGCACCCGGGCTTATTCAGGCAAAAGGTACGTAATGAACAGATCCCTCTCTGTTCATTCTGCTGCACTTAAGTACGTGTGCACGGCTCGTAAGGCTTACGGCATAGCCTAAGCCCACACAGGGCTCCAGCCCGTGACAGTGTTAAAGCGTTGGCTATAGGGGGTATAGGCGTCCGTAAATGCACATTAAGCTTTTTAATAATATAGTCTGGGTTCTATAGTGAAATCCCAGCGCCTTAGAAAGTAGACCTAATGTTTTTCTTATTAAAAACTCTGGCACGAAGCTTTAAGAGGTAAGTGATAAGACTCTTATACAAGAGTATTAAATGGTGAATATTCATATAAAAGCAAGAATATATGAATATAGGGGTAGTTAAGCGTATATAAAAGAGGTTGATAAATGTAAAGAGAATATATAGTTAGATTACTATATGAGAAGTTGCTTGCTTAACGAAAGGTCTAAGTAAGTAAAAAGATGTCTTTATATAGGCATAAGATCCTCCGACTAAAATATTCCATTACTTATTAATTATATCATAATTAATAAGCATAACTAGTTAAATTTAATAAAAAAAGACACTTTAATCTTTTTGTATTGAAATAAGTAGTGGAATAGAAAAATGGGTCTTTAATAAGAATATAATATATTTACTCTTTCTCTAAATAGAAATTAATTTTTAAAACTTTTTATTTAGTTTGGTGACTCTTATTAAAAACTAATGAAAAAATTTGAACGTTATATAACCAACAATGAAAAAGATATTAATTATATAATGTAGGCGACTTAGTATACGATAAGGAAATGCGCGGCTGACTGATATGCGCGGCTGACTGGTAAACCACGTTAGTTATAGTATATAATAATAAATAACTTGTCACGGTAGCAGGCAGGTTGTTTGGCAGGTGGATGCTGGGCAGGCGGATCAGACAATCTATTGCTACGGGCAGGCTCTATCCTAAGCAGGTACAGGCTCTGTTGACAAGACGTAGCTCAAGGAGCTACGTTTCTGGACATGCGCGACAGAATACAGGATGCAGAGTTTTATCCAGCCTCAGGCTTACGTAACCCGGCCACCGGGTTACTCAACACCAACCTCAAGGTTGGGGTCTAGGACAGCGGGTCTGTGACATAACTAGTTATATAAAGTATAGTAAAAATAGCTTATATTAACTTAAATAGAAATCAGCAAAGGAAAGTGCTCTATATGAATAAATGAGAGAATTACGTGATATTGTACGTGATAAGCTGCTTAAAGAGTGCTAATGATATTCCTATTTCGTGACAGGTTGCAACACACTGTTGGCTTCTCTCACGCTTGTACTACATCCATGATCCTCCAAACCCTTGTCACTTGAGGAATCCTTTATAAGACCTGAGCAGTAGAGAGGTAGAAGGCGGCTTGCGAATTGAGTTAATTAAACCTGTAGGAATTGAAAACATCTTGATAGTTACCTAGCTCTGCAATTTCTCTAACTAAGCAAGCTCTTGGTGTTCTAGCTACCAGCCTCCCTCGACAAGATGACAGTAGCCAGCTAATTGTGATGATTTCCACCATCTCAACATCTTCAAGCTGGCCATTGACGCAATTGAATTGACCTGCCAAAATTAGGATTCAATTTAGCATCTCGCGATGGATTATGTACATATGACAGGCCTTCTCTGCTGTCCCATTCCGGATCGTCAACGTCATATCCGAAGACCTCGTACTTCTCTCGGGCGCAAACCGTTGTGCAGCACTGCAGGGCCGGTGGGATACCTCCAATCAAGTGCCGCCCCAATGTCACACTGGGCAATCTTAAATGCAGAACTCTATTCTACCGAAGAAGTCTTTCTGGACGTCCGGGGAAGCCGGTGAAGATGAAAAGCACTTAAAAGCTTCTGAGTTCTCGCCAATGTCGCACAAACTGGAAACACATGCGAGCGATCAACGTTCTTACAAGTCAACTCCGTCTTCATACACACACACACACAGCATTTGATTCTTAGTCATGCTAAATAACTCTTACTCAATGCAGCAGTTCACCAGGGCCCTATTAGGCGGCCTTTTATCATTCTCCCTTCTCGCAGTAAAAGGTTATTCCTGCTCCTCGTCCGCCGAAGCATGCGTAATCCTCGCCTCCACGCTGCCGCCTGAAGTGTTCGCGGCCCCGAATACGACAGACTACCAGTCGGTTCGGGACAGCTATTGGAGTCAAACAGCCGGAGGCCTAAGCCCAGCCTGTATCACACGACCCAGAACCACCGAGGAGGTGGCGTCCATCGTAAAAGTGCTCTCGACCTGTGGCAACGACGTCAAACTCGCCATCAAGAGCGGCGGCCACGGCTCCTCTCCAGGATGGTCTAGCACCGACGGCGGCGTCCTCGTCGCAATGGACGCCATTAACGAGGTCCAAAACCTGCCGGAAAAGGGCTACGCTCTCGTCGGCTCCGGCGTCCGCTGGGTCGACGTGTACAAGGCTCTCGAGCCCCAGGGCGCGACCGTCATCGGAGGGCGCTTCGCCTCCATTGGCGTCGGCGGTTTGCTCCTCGGCGGAGGCATGAGCTACTTCAGCGGACTCTACGGCATGGCGTGCGACAATGTCCTCAACTACGAGGTCGTGCTCGCCGATGGCACCGTCGTCAACGCCAACCTGACCTCGGAGCCGGACCTCTTTCGCGCCCTCAAGGGCGGCGGGAACCAGTTTGGCATCGTGACGCGCTTCAGTCTCAAGGTGTATCCGCATACCAACCAGGTTTGGGCCGGCATCCTGACTTATTCTGTCGACAAGGCCAAGGAAGTCTTCGCTGCCACGCAGGCGTTTAGTGCTAAATACGACCCTCAGTCGCACATCTATCTGAGTATGGGAGGCGGCGCGAACCCGCAGCTGGACTTCCTGAACGTCTACGTGTTCTACAATGCGTCCTCGCCGCCCGCGGGTGAAGCGAGCCCCTTTGCCGGCTTCTACGCGGCCAAACCCAAGGCAGACAGCACCGCCACGCAGAACTTTTCCGCCCTCATCACCTCCAACAATAACGGCAACTTACCCCTCAAGCGCTGGCTCATCGGCGGCCACACCTTTCCCAACCTCGAAGGACAGCAGGGCGCAGATCTCTACTTCCAACAATGGCAAGCCTTCCGCGACAAAGCCAACGCCACGGCGGCGGGCGACCAGTCCCGCATGTTCTCCATGGCTCTAGTCCCCGTACCCGCAGCCGTCATGCGCGCCGGCGAGCGCATAGCCAGCGTCAAGAACGTGATGGGACTCGAAGCGGATGCCGGGGACGCCGCTTGGATCGATTACACGCTCGCCTGGGCGGAGGCCAAGGACGACGAGAGGATGTTTGGGTTTGTTGAGAGTATCAGCGCGGACGGAGACCGGTTGGCGAAGTCGTTTGCGCCTGGGGTGAGGAGTTCGAATGCTGTACAAGGGGACGGGGCGGTGTCTGTGGAGAAGGCGGCGTTTTATAGGACGAATCCGCGGTATATGAATTATGCGCTTTTGAGTCAGCCTGTACAGGACAGTTATGGAGAGGAGAATAGGCGGTTTTTGCGGGAGGTGCAGAGGCAGTATGATCCTGCTGGGCTGTGGAGGAGGGATGGTGGGTTTCTATGGGAGTAGCATTAGAGCTTTTCCGGGGCTGAGCAGTCTTGGCCAATGGAGGAAGTTACTGGCAGCACTGAAAACGTATATAAAAAGTTTGGGCAGACTGAGATCTATCAATTCAACGACCGTTGAGGCGATTAGAGATCTTGAGGTGAGTGGTGAGGAAAGAGAAGCTTCTTTGTTGAGATTTGAGAAAGAAGAAGAAAGACCGAAAGTCTAGATGCCATGAATCGTTCATCCTACTTTGACTCTATTCTGAACCCTCCTTCACTGCCAGTCACGCTCTCTCGTTAGAGCGTTCGTAACGAATACGAAGACGGCGAACGGCAATGCGCTCCTGCAGCGAGGTCTGTGTGCGGTGGCGCTTAACCTTGGGTGCCGATAGCCTAGCTGGCCAAGGATGTGTTCCTGAAGACGTAGTAGTGCGGAGAGCAATCTGCCAGATGTGCCAGAGTCAGACAGAGTCATAACGCCGTCGGGATGAGACGTTTGTAATGCCATGAACCTCGCTGTATTCATAGCTGCTTTAATATATGGCTACTGCCAAGACGGCTGAAGCTGATAGTGACAACTTAGTGTTGCTAGAAGTCTTGGCAATGGTAGTTGAAGGATGGGACCAGGCGATGATCCGGCATTACTTTGTGCTGCTGCTGCTGCTGCTGCTGCTGACGACGGTGGTATTATTTGTTTGCCTCAGTTTGATGATCAAGCATATGCCTACAGCCATGAGCACTCGCTCTCAGAAACATTTTCGTCAGTACAGGCAACCAACGAACGTGTTACAAATGTATGGTAAGCCTTCCGAAGAGATGAGTCTCACAGTATAGAGGGGCATCATATATTCGCTTCTCCGGAGACCACTTGTACAACTTCCAACGAGATGGACTTGCCTGCTTTCTGCGTAGATGATGCTTCAAACATGCCTTCGCCTTCTATAGCGGAGGATCATGTTAAGATATGTTCAGATACAGACTGTATTTATTGATTGCACATGACTTGTTCAGAAAGCAGAAGGGAAAGAGGAAAGAATTTGGAAGAACACGGTGCCCCTAGAAAGTCCACTGCAGTCTCAATTGGACAAGAACATGGCTCAGTTTTAATTACACATCTTGTATTCGGATAGCCTGTCAACGACCTATTCCAAGCTATAGATTGCTATGGCCGCTTCAGTCTCGAAAAGAGATCATCTCTACTGCCATTCTTTAGGTAGGTGGATGAGAAAAGAATCTGTACTCCGGGTTCCCATCATGATTCGTGATTCGTGAATCGTACAAAGGTCCAGCTACTCAATCGCCGCCGCCGTGGTCTGGGCCGACAGTAAACAAATTCTCTGTCGTTCTCTATAGCCAGTCAGTATTCATAACATGGACTCGTGTACTGTGGGTCCTTACCTTCTAACCATGGTATTACAAGTCTTTAGTCCTCCGTGGACCATGTCAAAGGCCCAATTATGTAGCTGGTAAATAGCCAAAATTCGATCAAAAGAAGCAAACATAGCGAACTCATTCCTCGGCCGGCTCGGCATCGGCATCAGAAGGCTTCGTCTCACGAGCCTTCTCAGCGCGACCCTCGCCAGCCTTGACAACCCGCCGAAGGACGCTCATCTTGCGCTCGAAATCCTCGAGCAGCGGTCCGTACTCCTCGCCGCCGGACCTCGCGACGGCACTATTAGAGCTAGGCAGACTCTCAGCACGATCCTTTTCCTTGTCAATTATCGTCGTGGCACCCTCGCTTTCGACGCCGTCAATCTTGAGCACCAGTCCGCCCTCCTTCTCGCCCTCCTGTCGAGATATGCTGGCGTCGGTCACGGCAAAGTCTGCACTCAGGCTAGCGACAGAGGAAACCTTCCACTGGCCGTCTTCGCCTGGGACCACATCAAGGAGGACGGCTCGGTTCGGGTTCGGGTTCGGGTTCTTTCCGGGCCCGGATTTGGAGGTCGAGGCCGAAGGGGTCGAGATTTGGTTCGAGGAGTGATGCGCTGCGAGCGCGGTTGTGAGGGTATCCGGGTCATCGTCTAGGAAGATGTACTTGACGGTCGGGTGATGGGTGGTGTTCGCCGACGAGTTGGAGACGAGGGTGAAGAAACCGGCGGGGTCGAGTTTGGGAAGAAGGGCTTCGTCAACGGTATCGTTCTCAGCTGCGGCATCTGCTTCTAACGTGGGAATGATGGCCGTTGTTGTATCGGTGCCAAGTTTGTTGTCGGGCGGCGAGCCGGCAAGGGCGGGCTTCTGGCCTTGTGACGACGACGACGACAAAGGCGCCTGGGCGGGCTGTTCGGCCTCGGTGCGCGGGGACGTCGGGAAGTCGGCCATCATCAGGCGGTAGAGTTCCTCCGAGGTCGCGTGATCCTTTCGAGGGGGGATGGATTCCCAGGGCGGTCGGGGATGGCGAGGCGAGCGGGGAGTCGAGGTGTTGGTGTTGACGATGTCCCTCGCGTCGCGCTGACTGGCATCTTTTACTGTGGTAAGATGGGAGCTGCGGTCGGAGGTGGTCTCGAGGATGAGCTGCAGGGTGGCACGGGAGCTAGCTGGATAGCTGTTGGGCGCCATGGTGGAGCGGTTCCAGGCTGCTGGGGACGTCTTATCGCTATCACCACGTGACGGTGGGGTGCCTGATCTGGCATGTGATTGCGAACCTCCAACTTCGGACACCAGTTCAACAGGCATTGTTACGGGGTCAGGAAACCGCTTATTCTTCAACGATAATTCTCTGCTTCATGAGAATTATATATATTGATCTATTCCCCGATAATCCATGATCTTCTGACTTCTTTGCATGCACACTCTTGAAAAAGCCATGCTTTTCTCCCGTCAGGCCTCAGGTCAATGGAATGAGACGTGATTGCTGAAAGAGTCTTTGCTTGTCACTACCACTAACAATGTGCTTTTTATCTTGAACCAAGAGAAGTTTGACTAGGTACTTCCTGTCAGTGTCATTATCTCCTATATGCTTGAAGGCGAAGGCCAGCAGGACCGGGCAGTCTTTTTTGCCAGTCCAAGAGAGCTTTCACAAGGGCCTTGGATATCTCTAAACCAGTTCGCCAAACGCCAACCATGTCAAATCCTTTCCACGAGAAACCCCTAGCTCTCATTTGCCTCATTCTTTGGATCAGTGAACTCGAATTCTGGGGTGTGTTAGTTGACTCAAACAGAACTCAAAGACAACCGTCAAACAAATGGGATGAAACTTACTTTGACGGCACATGGGGCATTGGCCCTTTGCTGAGTCCTGCTTGATCCACTCCAGGATGCAATGCTTTGAGCTGTATTAGCAGTGACATTGTGGCAAGCAAAGACAAGCACTTACCATATGGAAGTTGTGGCCACACTTGCCGGACACTAGTTGTCATTAGTTACGCAATGGCGATGTGGGAGGCGGAAAAGAACATACGGATGCTGCAGTCATCGCCAGGGTATTTGCAGGTTGGGCATGTGCCGTCAAAGTGGACTTGGCAGATACCACAGACATCGTCTTCGGGGATATCCCACCGCCATGTCGCGACGGTATTCCACCGGGTAATCTTGGCCTTCATTGGGGATGTTGTTGTGGTAAGATTGGATATCTGGGGGATATGATTCGTTTGTCGTCAGTGTCTTTAGAGAGATACTGTTGTGAAAGAGTGGTGTGCTTAAATGAGACCCTCTGTTTCTTTGCATGAAGTGGTAATCTTGTTGTCGTGATCTTAGCCCTGGGGCTTTTATTTGTTGGAGTTGGGAAGGCGGGACCACCGCGGACTGGCAACTGCCCATGTGAGGTGGATTTTGTAAAACTACTGGGCTGCAAGGCCCTGCAGCCAGTCAATCATGTCAAAAAAAGATGGCGACATGGCCCAAGCTCCCCACATTCGCGCCAACCGTTCCCACCTACGGAGTACGTACAGCCGGTCGGTCACTCGCACCTTGTCTTTTTTTGCTTCGTTTTCCCAGGCGGTTTGTCGTGATGCTCCACTTAAACGGAGTCACTGGTGACCGGCCGGACCCCGACCTCCTCTGTCTCCTCCCGCTTATCACTGACTGGGAACCAGTGGACGCCCCCCGAATTCCAGCGACTCTGACAATCGCTCCGAGGTATCTGTACCCCATTCCCATTCCATCCAATCCTTGCGGCCTGGCTACATTGCTCCTTCTCCAAAAAATCCCGTCCGACACCACCACCACCATAACCACAACGGTACCACCACCAGTGACCACCGACCGCGGCGTCCAGAACAAATAACCATCAGCCAAAGGGAAAAAACGGTTGTGACGGCAAGCCTCATTCAGAGCTTTCCCCTCTTCCACCTTACCTTACCTCCAACCCCGCACTGAAAACCACCACATGCAATGCCTCTGCGGTTCAAGCATCTGTGGTGATTTTTTTCTTTCCCTCTAACCCTTCCTAAAGGTAAAGGGCCCAGCGTTCCGGGCTCCCGCCCTTTGCCGTTGTCACCGACTGATATCGACCGACACCGCTCCTCCCAAGCCGGCAATTCCTCCCAACCTGATCTGACATCATTCACCCAAACCAGAACCAGTCGATTCAGACATAGTCAAAATGGTTACCATCGCTATTCTCCGACCCGCGCGCGGCACAAAGTTGTCGCAATTCACTGCGCGCTCTTTCCAGGCTACTGCCGCCTTCGCTGCCCGCCGCTACTTCTCCTCCTACCTCGTCACCCCCAAGGAGCTCGACGAGGCACTCAAGAAGAACCCTCCCTCCAAGATCAGCCCCGAGCCGCGCACCGTCCCTCTTTGCGCCTCCTGGTTCCTTCCCAACGATGGCCGCACCGGCATTGAGGTCTACCGTCAACAGCGAATTCCCAAGGCCCGTTTCTTCGACCTCGACAAGGTCATTGACCGCCGTAGCGAGTACCCCCACATGCTGCCTTCCGCCAAGGACTTTGCAGCGGCCATGAGTGAGCTGGGTATCCGCAAGGAGGACACTGTTGTCGTCTACGACACCAAGGAGTTGGGTATCTTCAGCGCCCCGCGCGTCGGCTGGACCCTTAAGATCTTTGGCCACCCCAAGGTCCATGTCCTGAACAACTTCAAGCTCTGGGTCGAGCAAGGTCTTCCTACCGAGTCTGGCGAGCTTTATAATGTCGAGTGCTGTACCTACCCCATCCCCAAGTTGGACGAGGGCAAGGTCGCCGAGTTTGAGGAAGTGCGCGAGATTGCGCTGGACCACAATAAGGAGGGTGCGGAGGGCGTACAGATCCTTGATGCGCGATCCCCCGGCCGTTTCGCAGGCACCGACCCGGAGCCGAGACCTGGCCTGTCGTCTGGCCACATGCCCGGCTCCATCAACGTCCCGATGACCGCTGTCTTGGATCCCGAGACCAAGACGTTCTACCCCGCGGAGAAGCTCAAGCAGATCTTCCAGGAGAAGGGTGTCAACCCTGAGAAACCCATCGTCTCGAGCTGCGGAACCGGCGTGACTGCCTGTGTAATTGAGACCGCTCTCGAGGAGGCTGGATTGGGCTCTCCTGAGACGCGCAGAGTCTACGATGGAAGCTGGACGTAAGTTTGATTTCTCCTCACCAAATCTCAAGCGTTTAGTAAGGTAACATATTTCGCAGTGAATGGGCACAGCGGGTCAAGCCTTCTGATTCACTCATCAGGAAGAGCGAGTAAGAGATGGAGCGAGAGAGTGCAGCGTCGAGTTGCTTCTAGTTGCGATACCCTCACTACCCCACTTCTGGTTTTCTCTGGTTTTCATGTACGATATCCGGCACATCACAGCTTTGGAGTTTGCATTGCGCATGGGGGAGGTCCGTCAGCCTTTTGGTCGTTTGGAAGGGACGTAGTTCGGGTGGCTGGTGTACATAGCAGGCCACGGTAATGGATCACGATTATGGACAACACATGTTTGGATGCCGTGCAGTGCGCATATAAGTGAGGAGTGCGGTTGAGTGGCGATACTTCTCGGTACTTTGTGTTCGTTCATAATTGATGAGGCTGCCTTTCTCTGCCGTGCTTAAAGGTCAAGAACACCATTCGAGATAGAATCGCGAGACCGCCCAAAGGCAGGGACGTAAGACACACTGTGCTAAGGACTGGTGAGATTCGGTGAGACTCGGTGAGCAAAGCACCAAGGTGGAGAACCCCACTCTTCACCTTGAATTTCTGCCTCGAAGCTCAGGCCACCATCTTAGGGCTCGCCAAACCCGTCCAATGAGCCCGCCTTGAGCACAATCGCAAAATATTCAGCCGGCCCTGACAGCCACCACAGACCCCCGCAAAAAAAAGTTGTACCCGGATCTCGAAATAACTTCCTCCCCCTTCGAAACACCACGCAACCGGACTAACCGCAGCAGCAGTCATCTCTCACTTGCGCGCTCAACACCCTTACCCGACGACACAAAAATGGCTGACCGTGGTGCAAGCGCCCCCGCCCGTGGAGGTGGTGGTTTCGGAGCTCGTGGCGGCGACCGTGGTCGTGGCGGCGACCGTGGTCGTGGACGTGGCCGTGGTCGCGGACGTCGCGGCGGCAAGAGCGAGGAGAAGGAGTGGCAGCCCGTCACCAAGCTCGGTCGTCTCGTGAAGGCCGGCAAGATCAGCTCCATGGAGGAGATCTACCTTCACTCCCTGCCCATCAAGGAGTACCAGATTGTCGACTTCTTCCTGCCCAAGCTCAAGGATGAGGTCATGAAGGTGCGCACACACAACACTCCAATTCGACCGGGAACCGAAATCGATTTTCGCAGACGACGACGCAACAATCGCCCAATGCAGATGAGATTTGGGTTCTTGGGAGTCTATGGGATATCACATTGGTTTTGGAGAGGAAGGGAAAGGCTAATTCATCGTTTCTTTTCCCCAATTGCAGATCAAGCCCGTCCAGAAGCAGACCCGTGCCGGTCAGCGCACGCGTTTCAAGGCCATCGTCCTCATCGGTGACTCTGAGGGCCACGTCGGTCTCGGAATCAAGACCTCCAAGGAAGTCGCTACCGCTATCCGCGCTGCCATCATCATCGCCAAGCTTAGCGTCATCCCCGTCCGTCGCGGATACTGGGGAACCAACCTCGGTGCCCCCCACTCCCTGCCCACCAAGGAGTCTGGAAAGTGCGGTTCCGTCACCGTCCGTGTATGTACACCCCGAATTCCAGCTTGCGCATTATAAGAGTATGGGAAACTGACTAGATGGAATCCAACAGCTCATTCCCGCCCCCCGCGGTACCGGCCTTGTCGCCTCCCCCGCCGTCAAGCGTCTCCTCCAGCTCGCTGGTGTCGAGGACGCCTACACCTCCTCCGCCGGTTCCACCAAGACCCTCGAGAACACCCTCAAGGCCACCTTCACCGCCGTCTCCAACACCTACGGCTTCCTTACCCCCAACCTGTGGAAGGAGACCAAGCTCATCAGATCGCCTCTCGAGGAGTACGCGGACACCCTGCGTGAGGGCAAGAAGTACTAGAGGATGTGCGAATGATGGGGAGAACGTCGGCGGCGAGGAGATTAGAAGAACAAGTGTCGGCTTCGGGATTTCTTCATGGAGTTGCGTGTGTTACACTGCATCGTTGGTTGGCCAGGGCATGACATTAAGGCTAAGGGCAAACTAGCTCCGGATCTGAAAATAAAGATCAAACATTGAATGCAGCCGACGGGTTTTTCAAAATAAGTACGGGCATGAATTTTACGATACCATCCAGACAACGTTCCAGCGGGCCGAGTGACATCATGTTGAGGCGCCATTTTGCAGAGCAATCGACGAATTTAATGGAGGGGTAAAAGTGTGGTTTTGGTCCACCGGCAGCTGTGCGTTTCGAAGACTCTCCGCCACGAAGAGACATCAAGAACGTTGACGGTCTGCAAGAGATTTTGACGATTACCGCACCTTTTGAGCCGGTCCTTGCTCGGCGAGTTTCCCAATGTACACCTACTCTGCCAGTCGTCCGGATGCACGACAAAATAATCACCAAGGCTGTTCGAAACGAGATATTAGTCTAAGCCATGCTCGACGGACAGTTGACGAGGACCTTACTTTATTTACAGATCTGGGCCCCGCATAGTGCAGTGTGGTAACACTCGCTCGATACCTAGGCTCACTAAGGACACCCGGCCACATGGGTACACAGCTGGGGTGCACATTCCAATCAAGTAAGATGGGATAGGTTTTTGATACGCGGATCTAAAAGTACAAAGTACTCGACCAACTCCCGTCCGAACGCCCCGAACAGCAAAGAACGAAGAGGAATCCTCTCTCCAACCAAGCCTACTGCTCAGAATCGTTACCTTCCCGGTCCGCGACGTTGAATCTTACTCGTCGCCCACTCTGCCGCCGTGTTTGCCGCGGCGGGAACAGGCTCCGGTTCGTCGCCGCCGCCGGCCGAGTATCCCCCGCGCCCGCCCCACCCGCCGCCGACGACATTCTCCTTCCCGAGGGAACCCGGCCCGGAACGCTTCTCGGCACCATGTCCGGATCAATCTCCACCGTCTCATGGGGTTCGCTACCGGGCGTCTGGACTGTCTCACGACTAATCCATCCCGTTCCGCGAGGCGCAATGCCGTCGTTGGGGTATAGCTCTTCTGTAACAAGGAAGTCAGCAAAGTCAGATCATCTCAATAGTGCGCAAGACCGTATGTTCGCAGGGATATAGACTCACCATTGAGCATCGTCTCTAGACGTTGCTCAAGATCCCGCCTCTGCGACTCGGTATCGCCGCCCCAATACTCCGTCACACCAGGGAAAAACTCCGTCCTCCGGTCGTCGCCCACGTGATACGGCACCGAAAGCATCTGCTCCATCTGCGCCTGGCGAATCTCATCCGCAGTAGGCATCACGCTCGCCTCCAGCTTCGCCACCTTCGTCCGCAGCTCGTCCGCCTCAGCCTGCTTCCGCACCCCTTCGTCCGTCACGCTCCTCCTGATTTCCTCCTGTCGGTCTTTACTCTGCATATGCACCGGCCACCGATTCATCGAAAAGAACTGCCGCTTCTTCTTCCCGCACAGCTCGGGCAGCGCCCAATCCCAGATCCGCTCGCGGTGCAGCGTCACGATGCGCTTGTTTTCCTCCAGATCGTGGAACCACCGTGGCCGACTGGGCCATAACGTTCCGTCGCCCCGCGAGAGCTCGTCGATAATCCCCTTGCGCACCACCTCGCGCGCCTCCTCCTCCGTCATCTCCTCCGTCCACTTCCCGGGGTCGCCCGCCTTGACGACGCTCTGGTACGACACCCGCGGCGTGGCCATGTCATCATCCCCCGTCCTGTCCCGCTTGAAGCTGCTGCTCCACATACCTAGGATATCCTGCAGCTGCGTCTTACGGTACTCCCAGTCGTTACCGTGGTTGAGACGCTGGTTGAGTATGGGAATGTTCTTGGCCAGCGCGGCGAGCCTGACGCCGAGGCGGTAGCCGAGGGCCCAGAGGAGCTCCTTCGTCAGTGTGCGAGTAAGGTTGATTTGGTCCACGTTGGCGAAGGCTGAGGGCCATGCCCATGCGTCGAATGGAGCCGGGATGTTGTTGCGGTGGTAGTTATTCTTGTTTGAATTCGTTTCCCTGGTCCAGTCGTTGGTGATGTCCCAGTTCATGCGGTGTTCTGGGTGCCAGTCGTTCTTGGGTCGGCTTATCGAGACCTCACCGGTTTCTGAGCGTTCGTAGCTAAGAGAGTTTCGTTCTGTTAGTATCTCGTCTGTTTACGCCTTCATCAGAGGGGAAGGGACTTACCCGAGTCTTCCACACTCCGCAAGTACCTTACTGTACTTATTCACCCAATCCTCGGTGAAGATATAATCACCCTTACAAATCCCAGAATTGAGTGCCATAGCCACCTGCTGCAGCGTAAACTTCCGATCCTGCTCCGCAAAAAGACACGCCTGGCTCGGCTCGTCCAGCAGCGCCTGCATCCGCACGACAAACACATCAAAATCGCGCCCCAGCTTCGGGAGCACCTCCCGCTGAGCCTTGACCGTCGTGGAAGGCCCGCAGACAAACTCCAGCCACTGGAGCTCGAATCTTTGGAAGGGCCCGCAGTGTCCGCCGTTCTTCTCCCGGAGAGCGGCGATTACCTCATCCATGTCCCACGAGGGCCGCCCCTGGAACCCGTATTCGATATTCTTGATCACGCCCTCGAGCATCTCCCGCGGATCCTTCTTGTACGCCCGCGTCAGCTTCTCGCGGAGGGTGCGTAGGCAGTGGAACCAGGACAGCACACTCCTCTCGCTCTCCTTCATGAAGTTGTAAGGTGTGACGGGGCTGTACAGCTGTTTGGGGAGCTGAACCGTGTCCTTGGGTATACCCATATCATCGAGCATCTGCTCGTGGATGCGCACCGTCTGATTCCACAACCGATCTGCGCGATCGAGATTGGTGACCTGCAGCCGGTTATGCCAGTACGTGATACCAAGTGGATCAAGCTTGACTCCCCGCGGCGGCGCCTTGATAGAGTGCGGCTTGTATACGATATCCCGCTTCGCATCAGCCAGCGCAGCCGCCTTTTCCCTCTTGGTAGGCGACAGCACCAGCTTGCGAAAGGGGCTCGCGAGCGCCACATTCTCGTCGTTATTGAAGTGCGAGAGACACTGCTGCAGCGCCGCGCGCTTCGCTCCTCGAAACCGGGCGAAGCGCTGCTGTGCCTCGCCTTCGGGGTAATGTCTCTGCATCTTGTACGTTTTACCGTCGTCTCGCTTAAACTCGTCGACCTCGCCGCCGACGTACTCATTCATGAGGAGGTAAAAGTTGGCCTCGCCGTGGAGTTCGTCCGAGGTCGTCTCGGGCCCTCCGCTCATGCACTTGTCGAACCACTCGTCTTCCGTGAGCGCCATGTTGAAGTCCGGTTGGTAGTTGAACATCTGTCCGCGTTCTCCTGAGCCGGGCATCTCGCTTTTCGGATTCGTGGCCCAGACGAGGTTCCCGTCCTCACGGAGCCACTTCATAAACGTCATCCGTAGAAGTGGTCCGGGGATCTGGTAGTCGGCGTCCTGAACGGACTCGGGTACGCGGTGCAAGAGATAGCGAGGCCGCACCGGATCCCTGGGCCTCTTCTCGATGACGAGGTCGCGCCCGTCGAGCAGCGGCGGGAGTCGCGTGCTGGTGGTGCTCATTTTGGGGAAGTCGACAACGAGCTTCTTTTTGCCGTAGTGGTGCTCTTCAAAGATTGCGTGCGTGCGAAGCATGGCGATTGCTTCGCGGAGGTCGACGTACCAGTCCTTTTCCGTGACGTTTCTCATCCTGATGCAGTGCTCTAAGAACTCGCCAATTTCGGCAAACTTGCGCTCCCAGTCGAGTGTGCGGTCAATGTCCTCGTCCGCGAGGAAGTTCTTGATGCGGATGAGCTGGACTTTGGGCGCGTGGATGCGCCAGCCCTTGTAGTCGATCATGCGCAGATCCTCGTCCGTGGTGGAGGCGTCTCGTCTGAGCCAGTTGATAAGCCACTGGCTATCATAGGGTCGAGAGCGGAGGTTGTCAGAGGTCCCGCCACCATCGGTAGCAGCAGCGGCGGCATCTTTGGGTTCTGGGTCGATCATATCGACGTCAGAGGCCTCTGATGCGCTGCTGGGCGACTCGGAGTCGGATTCGGGGACATAGATTTCTCGAGGGGGAGTGAAGATGCGAGGGGGTTGTGTCGAGGGAGGGGCGAGGCCGGAGTTTCTCACTAGACGACTGCCGCGTCCGGATTGGTTCGCGGGCCTCTGATGCGTGGATGACGATGTGTCGGTGACGGTGATATAGGGGGCAGTCGCTTCATCACGCGGAGGCGTCCTCCTGGTGTCGACAACAAAAGGCGGTATCACAGGGCCCTGGGGCTTTGGAGGCGACTCTGTAACTCCTGAGAAAGTGACAGAAGCTCTGCCGTCTTCATTGCCCTCAGGCAGTCGTTCTGTGGTAGTCGGACAACTCGTCTTTGGTGGCTGATCTTCTGCGTCAGCTTCTTTCTCGAGGGCACTACTTTAGTTTACTTGACTTACCCGTGACCTTAAACCCTTGCTGTCACTCTTTTTCTCATTACTTCGAGACCCCTCGCCTCGAGTACTTGTTACTGTCTTCGTTTTAGACTTTGTCCGCGTCCGAATAGTCGTGGCCAAGGCAGCTAACGCACTCGGGGTCATCACTTCGCCCTCGGAATTCTCCTCTTCCCCTTCCTGAGCCGAGGCATCCTCGTCATCCTCCTCCTCGTCCTCCTCTCCATCTACTGGAAGGCTACGTGCAGGACGCTTGTAATTCTTCGACCTCCTGATGAATTGGTTGCTGGTGAAATAGGGGTCAAAGACCTGCGGCCACTTCCAGTCGCCAGGGTTATCGCGAGCACGCCACTCCGTTGTAAAGGGGTTCCTGGGTGCCTCTCCGCCCTCGGCAGGGGCTCGCGGTACCGTCTCAGGCTGGACTGGCTCTTCGTCGGTAAGGAGGCTCGACTGACCTTCGAACGTCGAAGGACCGTAGGTGCCCTCGGGTCCGTCTAGACATGCAGTAGGATCCGGGCCCCCGATGCCCTCTCTCTCTTCTCCTGCACCATACCCGGGACGGCCCTCGCCTTCCACCGATCCAGACTCTATCCTCATCTTCGCCGCAGCCGCTTCGATCTCGGCCCGGGGGAAGCTGACGCCCTCGAAGCCCAAAACCTTGACCCACCTGTCTAGATCGTCGCCGCCTTCGACAATCTTCCTGAGCATGAGATCTCTCTTTTGGTCTTCTGATTTCTGTCTGTTTTCTTCGGCTGCCTTGGCTTGCACGACGAGATCCTCGACGCCCTCTTCTTGTGTCACCCCCAACGAGTACCTCCGAGATCCGCATCTTGAAGCCATTCGTACCGTTGGCCGTACAGACTTGCCATGAGCCCACGGAAGTCCGCATTAATCTGGAGGATCGCATCGATCTTGCGTGTGGAGATGAGTGTCTCGATGTGTTCAAAGAGGCGGTGGGGCTCTGGGTTTTCGAGTGCGAGCCGTGTAGCTTCCCACGTATCGGAAGGGAACCTGTGATATTGCCTCCTGACCATGTCGGCCAGTTCAGCTACAGCATGATTAGACTGTGGGTAGTAAAACATTGTCATCGGGTGACACCTACGCATCCTTGCTTGCGCCATTTTGGCTGCCGTTGCTTGTGCTCAGAGTACTCTTGTTAGACTTGCGAGATCAGCAACGGTGAAGGTAAGGGAGCAACCCAGGATAAGGGGAGAATAGAACGCCGAATTGAAGAGGAAAAGGTCCAAGCTCCAAGTTAGATAAGAGCTGTTACGTGGAAGGCAGCTGTTTGAGAAGAATGGTCACCTTGCGCAAGACAGAGACATTGGGGAGAAAACCTGACAAAAGGAACGGGGAGTTTGAGAAAGCAGAAAGTTGAAGGGAACTCAAGTTTCCCATCAGACTTGCGAAACACTTCCATTTTACGATTTTCAAAGAGTCTGATAGAAACCCTCAATGACTTGCTCTGTCGCATTGTAGCCAGCCCAAAGAGGATATCACAAGGAGTCATTGCGGTCTTTCTTGGTGGTCACAAAGACCTCTAACAGCGACAACAAAGAAGACAACCTACAGAGGGAGGAAAGGGATAGATGGTCAATGTTTCAACAATGCATTCGGGACGCGATATTGCATTGCCGGTTCCGGACGTGCTCTCTCGCCAGAATGGGGTTCTATTTGCGGCATGGTATGTCTCTTTGTCGCGGGCCGTTATGCAACTGTCGCAACGGCGGCTACCTGATGTTGTCGCAAAGCTGCGAAGCTGCGAACCCCGGCAATTATGAAATGAGTTTTGAGACCAGAAATTCGAGTGTTGACAGGTCGCATATACTAAGGATGGAACACGTAAGAAGCCTCAGCTTTCTCTTGTAGCCTCTCTAGGTAATGAGCTTCCAGGTGGTATAGTTTCAACAGTAGATAAAGCTTTCGCAGACTTCTGCAAAGTCACGCAGCAAAGACTCACTGCTTCTTCCGCATTAGGAGCCTTTCCTTGACAACAAGAACAATGTCTCATAGGCAGAGCTCCGATGATACTGCCTCCAACGACGCGAACGCTCGCATTCGCGACTCGCCCGCCACCACCTCGCAACCCCCGCAATTAGAGTCTAACTCAGCCCATACCGAAGACGGCAACCATGAAGAGACCGATATGTGCAGTCCGGAAGAATCTGCCCGTCGTTTGACAGTCGAAGCCCACGAACAAGAGCTCAACGAGCAGATCCACGTAGAGCTAGAGACCCAAGAGCGCGAGGCCATATGGCATCGTCGAATGCAAGCTGAGAATCTAAACAATCCCCAAACTTCTCATACACAGCCTCAAACACCACCCCTCGTCATCGGCGCACCGCTGGGCAGGAATCTCACCGTTGTAGAAGCCGCGCGCCGCCTCGTCTCTCAATGGGAAACAATTCACGAGTCCACACTCTCGTCAAACCCAGAGGCCGCTGGCCCCATCCTCGAAGAACTGAACCAAGCCCGCACCCAACTCGACGCCCTCACAGCTCAACAGCACGGAGAAGACACACACAACCTTTTTCTAGACGACCAAACCCAAGACCCGGCAACAACACCCCTAAACTCGCTCCAAGCACACAAAGAAGAAGCCATCGCCTCCAGAATCACATTCCTCACAGACTCCCTCCCAGACTCCTCGTTCCCCCCAGAGCGCGCCAACATCACCGCCGCAATCTCCCTCTACCGCGCCTCCCGCATCCCCTACTCGGCCAACTGGGCCCTCATCTACGCAGGCCACCTCATTGACTTTGCGCCAACCTACGCCTCCTTCACCGCCGACCGCGTCGCCCGCCTGGACCGCTACAGCCGCCTATACGGCGAGGGTTGGCTCTGGATCGAGCCGCCCCTGGCCCGGGACACGGGTGCCGGTCCCTCGCCCTTTTTCTCTGCGCACAAGAGCACTTTTCTCCCAGAGACGGACTCAGCGTATGACATGGGCCACTACAGCGTCACCATGTCGTTCCGCAGGATGAAGAGCCTCGCATACTGTGGCGCGGAGCCGCTGCTGAGGAGCATGTCCATGTCCAAGAAGAGGAAGCGCGAGGACCGAGACGACGAGGAGGAAGCAGCGATGCTGGATTTGCAAGACTGGCCTACGTCTATCGCCGAAGACGTCTCGGATGAAGAATACGACGACCCTGGTGCCGCTTCAGACTCGGACCTGCCAGGGTTCCCTCCTCGCTGCCCAAGGAAGTCCAAACCATCTGCACCATCCTCCTACTCCTCTCGCGCAGGCATAAAACCACCATCCAGCCTGCGCAAGAACCGCCCCTCGCGACACCCACACATGGCCCGCGACCCCTCCGCACCAACACTCCACTTCCGCACCCTCCTCGACAGCGGCTCGACGCTCCCGATGCTCTACAACCGCGACGCCCGCGCCCTAGGCATCCATCGCGCCTCCTACGCCGCCGTCTCCCGCATCGCAGTCGAGACGGCCTCGGACAAGATAGCCACCTGGCTATACGAAATGGAAGTCGCCGTCGTAGACACCGCAACATGCGAGCCCCTCGTCTCAGCTTCGTCGCCCGTCTGGCCGGCGGAGGAACCTATGCTCGGCGGCATCACGTTGGTCATGGTACGCAATTCACCCAAGGCCGGAAGTGATTCGTTCTCGTCGCCTGGCGGGGGCACCGACGCTATTGCCAAGACGACGGCGGAGGGCAAGACGACGTTTCTTGAAAAGGCGACGAGTTTGATTGATATCGCTGAGGGCCGCGACTATGGTCGGCTTTCTGGGCTTTTGCCGTTCAAGGTGTGTTATGTGCAGAGCACGCCCGGTCTCCGGACAATTTGGATGGGCGAGGACCGGCGCGATGTTCTCGGGGCACATCGGATGCCGGGGCAGATGCGGTGGGCGCCGGGGACGGGGACGGTGTGTGACCCCGGGCATCCGCGGGATGTATGGAAGACGGCTTGCGGAGATGACGATGGGAGGCCTGCCTTGCTACACATGACGCATGAGGAAGCTGTCTCTGGATATGGAGAACAACGGGCTTCCTTGGTTGACGTTGAGGAGAAGGGATGGAAGGGACGGAGTGAAGTTACGGTTACGGATAAAAATGGCGTGAGGTTGAAGCATGTCATTGAGCCTAGGTTACTGGATTCGCAGCGAGAGAAGCGACTTAAGAAGGTTAGATTAATTTGAGTAGATGTCTATGCAGTGTTCTGGAGAGTTTGAAAATTGAAATCATGAAAAAGACAGCATTTATATGCCGCAACACGATATTTCTCCTGTCGTAAGACCGCTGTCGTCTTCTCGACGAGGTTGATCTCAAGGTATAACTACAACCGAGTGTGATGTGACAGAAATGCAGACTTGTGAAATCGTAACAAAGGAGCGCAGCGAGTCCTGCTGCTCTACGTCTCTAAGGGTATCCGATGAGTTCTCAACTTCTTCAGGCGCGATGAATATGAATATCTCGTGGGAACTGTCTCTTGAGAGCCAAATATTTCAGGGGCTAAAGGATACCAGCTTCTGCCCACAATAGTGGCCAAATATTACACTGACTTCAGGGTTGTCCTGATATCCATGAACCAGCCTTTGCTCTCGCAAACATCGGCTTCACGTTCGTCAACATCAACCAGCGGTGAAGCTGTCAGTAAGGGGTCCGCAAATCATTACCTTAAAGCATTGTTGAACCCCCCTGATACTTCCGCATGCAAATATCGGCAGCATCCGCCCTCAAGGGTCCCCGAATAGGTATTCCGTCATCTCGCCTGGCCCTTCTCGCTGCATGGGCACATGGGATGACAATGAATCCGTGTCATGAACAAGTGGAAACGCAATGCAGGAGACAGAGTCTATCGGTATAAGGCAAGAAAATGAGGTCCGGATATTCGCAAGGCGGTCAGAAACTCAGAAGTCATAGGGGGAAGCGGCCTATTCCAGGGATATAGAGTAGGAGGTGATCAACTAGCGCTCGCTTCGTGATATCTTTGCTATCAATAGCATCGATAATATCCACAACCCACCAACAAACAAAAGCAGTGAGCAGTGAAAACATCTTTTGCCATGCCTCCTTGCATTAACAAAGAAGCACTTGCTTTTTGGGCCGACCAACGCTGCCTTAGGCCTCTTGCTCGCGCGTGCGGGTGGCTGTTCGGAACGGATTCCTAGTATAGAGCGACTCAGTAGGGGGAACGGAGATGACAGCCCGATTCGAGTCCGATGGTTCTCTGGGCTCGACATGGTAATATCAATGCCAGTGCGGCCTGCCCATCGCGATCTGCCGGGGCCAGCAACGGCCGAATTGAAAAGCGGCACGGCGGCCTCGAACCCCCCTCCAACAAAGCCCACTTGAGCTTGTTGGTCAAATACGAATCGCCCGCCTTGCGCTCCTGAGTCGTTCCCCGGTCTGGTGATCACCGAAATCGAACAATGACTTAATAAGCCTGACAGGCTCCAATCCACCTGCTCCTGTCACCTCCGCCCAATTTCCCCAATATCAGCGACTGAGGGAAAACGTCTTTGGCACAGGCACAACTGTCAATGCCTGAGAAGGACTGGGGATCTCACTCGCCGAGACCCGGCCATCCAAAGTATCGCGCAATCGGAGAATTAGGGCGGAGTCTTTTCCCCCAGGGCCCCAGACGCAGGAGATTGTAAGTCGTGCGAGGGATTGACGCGATTTGAGCTATTCGTATGTCTAGGGGTGGTGGTTCTGGCCAATGAGAGCCGCCTTGGACAATGCACTTTGCACCCGTCTCTATGGCCGTGTTTCCCAAACAACTAGGCATGCTGTTCGCGCGAAATCTTGTTTTGCGTGCAGGCTTACGGTGGGGGAGCCAGGCGATGCGTGGTGGCTTGCAGATTCAGGCCCCGTCTGGCGTCTGTCCAAGGGGGCCGCCTAGTCGGCTTGTGGGAGCCGTGTCGCGTGGAAAGGAGGAGGGGAACGCGTAAAGTGGTTTTGTTGTTCTCTTGGTGCTCCCTCCTGAATCCTCTCTCCTGTGGCCCTTTGGGAGGGTGTTCGTCGCCAAGTTAGCGTGTGGTTGGTGTGCAACTCGGGCGAGGAATGGAATGGGCTTTTTGAACTAGTTCCAATTTCCATCCGAGATCTCGAGGGGAGACCCCTGGGAATATTGAACAGCTGGCAGACACAAGCAATCAAACTGCCTGCTTGCAGTTGAAGCATGTGCTAGTGTGAGTGTCTCTCGGACCCAGAGATGGCAAAGTTGCGATGTTTGCAACGGCATTGACAGGACACGTCCACAGCCTCACAGGCTACAGAACGATCGATATCACTCCGTAGGGATGTTCGTCAACATTGCCATTTCGATGGATGCCGACGTCGATGTCTCGGTTGCGCAGCGCTGATATCACCGTGATGCCCCTAGTCTCAAGCGACGCCTGTGGTAGCCATCTCTAGCAAACAAATCCGAGCAATGTTCCATTGCCCTTTGGTCTGTGCGATATAGCATCAGAATGTCTCAGCCCCGTGCACCAGAATATGGCTCGTTCGATGAACGAGTGGTGATTGACTTGCCACGGGTGAGGAAACAAGATAAGACCTCATGAGAGGCCGTGTTTGTGTTTCGAGACGATGGCCTTGCTGACAACAAGCAGTCGACAGTGCGATGGGGGGAGGGGGGGGTTTGCGCGGTTTGTTGGCTAGCGTCCAAGAGCTGAACCATAATGAAGCCGTCAACCGTGAATATTGTGCCCTTTCGAGGTCGTTCAGCTGCTCTAGCACCCGCAATCCTCGGTGCTTCAGACGTGCTCTGGGCCCGCTGATTGCTTCTTGCAGCCGCCGAGGCAAATTCGCCTAGGCGATGACCCCGGCATTGGCTACACAAGAGCGCTGCAGACCCGGCTGACACCCTCCTTCAGGACCCGGAATAGGCAGGCCGGTCGGCGCATCCGGTGCCCCGTCTGCGGGGACGCGACGGGGATGCAGCTTGTCTTTGTTGCAGGATTCGGGCCCTGGAGAAATCCATCACGAACCGAGGGGGCAAAAGGTGTCGAATCTTGCGTGATGCTGACAGGCAGGCAAGATCAAAGGACTGGAGGGACGTCGGTATTGACGATCAGAGACTGGCAGCTAAAACAATGGTTCATATTCTGTAGGACGAGCGAAGCCGGAAAGCCGGTTGCTGAGGGCAGTCTCGGAGGACTCAGACCAGTTCGTAACTCTTGTGGAGTAAGTAGGGACCAGGGAACCAGAATTCGACGTCAACGGACAGACTTTGTCTCGTGACTAGCTTGTGACCCATGGCGAATGGCATGGTATCTGTTCGTTTCTACACGGAACCCGAGACAGCGTATTTGTGTGCGACCAGACCAACGCATACAAGAGCGTTTCTGTCGGAAAGGCGAGATGTCCTGGTAGTTGTACGAGGGCCTGTTGCCAACGTTTCTCAAGAAGTCGACGCACATGCTTTTGCGCCTGAGCTAGGTGCCAAGTGACATGCCTGTAGTGCGTAGAAATTCAGGATGAATGCATGCGTGTCATCGGGAGAGCTCTCGAAAAGCACTGGCTTGTTGGCTAGGTAAATGTCAAAGGTTGGTGACGGCTATCAATCTCTGAAGCGGATGTCCGTTCTACCAAAAGTAAGGTGGCTGGAGTCTCAAGGCTGAAGGCGATTTGAATCAGGCGCCGATCGTTCGTGCGCTCGACACCCGCACCTGGGAAACGGCATTCGAACTTTAGGCAGACCTCATATACCGTTTCCGTGGTGAAGCGAGGAACGATAACGAACCGTCCGATTCCATCTCGAACTGTTGTAATTGCTGTGTACGAGCTGCGCGCTACCGACGCCTCCGCTAGCACGGGGCAACGGTATCGGCTATGAACGTTCTCCGGTCGGTCAAGAATCGGGTTGACGCCTCGCGTGGATGCAGGTGTCCCCGAGGAGACTCTCCAACGTACCCTTGTCCTGGAGGACGTTTCTTCTAGGAGCTTCGGATTCGTCGCCGATTAAGTCCCATGGTTAATCGTCTAGCAAGGGAAACCAGGTGTGCATATCTTGCGTCCCTAAAGGCAAAGGTCCTTTGTCTCTCCTTCGAAACAAGTGCCCGACTGACCTTTGCCATGTTAGGATAGGTAATCAAGTCCGATACCCGTGTTTGCATCTGCATCCGCAAAGTCGTGTTCAGTTGCGTAAATTGCCTTGAATTTCCAAGATAGCTCCCTCAGAGCCTCGCCAGCTAGGCATTGTTCGGGCAAATCCTATGCAGGCTCGCGTCATGGCATGAACTTCGATGTAGCTCGCCTGGCCTTATGCAGGGTAGCTCCTCATTCGGCCTGGACAACTTGATATGGACATTTGCTATCGCTTGTGCGTGGAAAGGGAGAAAGCTTGCAGTCTGTGGAATTCGAGATGGCCAAGGAAACCGTGTCTGCCCATACCTGTACTTTGTATCCGTACGCCGTAGTTCGTGAACAATCGCGAATTGTAGGTTGCAAGGGCGACTGAACCGGTCATCCATCGCCGATGGCATGTCACTGGGGCTGGAATGACCAGTGACACGCGAGATAATCTGTACTAGCCCACTCAAAAGTTTCTTTGGTGAAGTCCAAGCGCACTGTCTAGCCGCTGATTCGAGGCATTCTTCAGAGACTCGACAGGGTTCGTTCGTAGGTCGCGATCTGGGCGCCCAACGATGGTTCCTAAGTTGGAATGTGTGTGCACGAAGCAAAAGTGATGATCCAGACAGAAAAGCCACGTGAGATAGCTGCGAGATCTGCCTAATCATCTACGCCCCAAGTCAATTAGAGATGACGAACACTTGAGAGACCCGGCATTTCGGACAGCTCGCAATTCGCTGATGCTAACGATTTTGGTCAAAGCTCCTGGCTCCCTGCCATGGAACCAAGTCATGTTGAATTCCCAGATTGATTGATTTGGTGCCGAGCTCAAGGGAGGGTTCCGCATGTGATATGGATGGTTGATGAGCGAATTGGTGCAACGATGGAGGTTAGCCAGTGGTTTTGAGGAATCCGAATTGGTGAGGTGATGCAACTCTACTTTGTTAACGATCGTTTTGGAAAGTCCATCAGACTTGAAACGCCATCAGAGTCGTAATTGTGATTATAGACAGGTGTTGCAGCAGTAAATACGACCAAGGCACTTGGTCGAGGATGGCAGGTGGATTGAGTTTGCACGGCTCTCCTCACAAGCTCGCATGGGCGACCAGTGACGGTAATT